AAGGTCACAATATCATATTCCATATATGTAAAATTCTAGAAAAGGCAAACCAATCTATAACAACAGTAAGCAGATCAGTGTTTGCCTGGGGATGAGGAAGTGGGGAGCAAGGACTACAAAGGGCATGAGGAAACTTTTCGAGGTGAAGGATATATGTCCATTACCTCGACTGTGGTAATAGTTTCACAACCACATACATACGTTAAAACTTATCAAATTGTATACTTTAAATATGCCAATATACCTCAATAAAGGTGCTTTTAAAAAACTTCACCAGAATTTTTTTTTTTTAATATGCTCATCATTAACAAACCAATGACTGACTACAGGGCACTCTGCTAATCTTAGGAATGTAGTTTCCTGCCCTTGAGGGGTCACTCTTGGGAGTGACATTAAAAGCCAGGTAAAACCTTGGAGAATTTTAGAAAGAAGTGAGCAGAAAGTATGTTCTTGAAAGCCAATTAACTCTACAAACTACCCTGGTTCTTAAAGAAATTTAGATGTCTATCCAAGAGAAAAAAAAAAAAAAAGCTTCAAAGAAGGAAGCCATTCTTCTGGCAAAGAAGAAATATCCCAATATTGTAACTTTTCTTCAATTCTGGTTCAAGGTTTGACTTTCCAACATTCTTAACATATTTTAGTAAAGTACAGGCAACGTGACTTGTAAAAGAAAAAAATCAATCCACATAATTCACATTAACAGAATAAAAGACAAGAATCATAGAAGAATCTCAACAGATTTAGAAAACACACAGACAGAATACCAATTTATGATAAAACTTTCAGTTTATTTATGATAAAACCTTTCAGTTACTTTCCTTAAGGTAACTTCTTAACACAATAAACAGCATCTGTGAAAATCTACTTTGGCTAACATGATACTTATGAACATAATATTTTGTGATGAAAACTGAATCCTAAGACAGGGAGCAAGGAAGGGAGATCCACTCATTTCTTTCATTCAACAACGTACTGGAGGGTCCTAACCAGTACAGTGAGGACATAAAGAAGAAAAAGAATACATACTGGAAAGAAAGATGTAAAACTGTCTTTATTAAATGATATCATCATACACAAGGAAAATCCTGAGATATCTACCAAAAAAAAATGTTGAAACTAACAAGCAAATTTAGCAAAGCTGCAGGACACAAATTCAATATTCAGAAATCAATTAGGTTTATGCGTAATAGGAATGAGCAATTCAAAAATAAAATGAAAAATCACAATAGTGACAAAAATATAAAATGCTTAAAGATAAGTTAGTGAAATGTGTGCAAGACTTCTGAAAAGCACTCTGAAAATGTACGAAATATTGCTCAGAGAAATTTTAAAAGGCCTAAATACATGGACAGATATACCATGTTCATATATTAGAAGACTCAATGTTATTAAAATGTCCACTCTCTTCAAATTGGCCAAACAAAATCCCAGTTAGATTTTTTTGTAGTAACCTAGCAAGAAGACTCTAACATTTATACAGAAAAGTACCTAGAATATCCAAATAATCTTGAAAAAGAAGAACAAAATTAGAAAAACTGACAGTACCTGACGTACGATGTACTATAAAGCTGTAATAATCAAGACCACGTGGAACTGGCATAAAGATAGGCAAACAGATTAATGGAACAGAAATATACTCACACTTACTTATACATTCAATGAATTTTCAATGGACGTTCCAATGCAATGCAATGCAATGGGGAAACGATAATCGTTTCAACAAATGGTGTTGGAACAATCTGATAATGTATGGAATAAAATAAGCCTCAACTCATATCTCACATCATTCACAAAAGTTTCCTTGAAATGAATCACAGACCTAAATGCAAAAACTAAAATTATAAAGCTTCTAAGACATAATAAAGGAGAATATCTTTACCACCTTGAGGTAGGCAAGGATTTCCTGGGCACAACGCAGAAAGCACTAATCATAAAAGAAAAAAATGATAAACTAGACCTAATCAAAATGAAAACCTTCTTCTCATCAAAAGACACTGTGTGAAAATCAATCAGCATGCAAAGACTGGGAGAAAATATCCACAATCCATGTATCTGGATCCAGACTAGATAAAGAATTCCTACAACTTGAAAACAAAAAGATAAACACCCAACCAAAAAACGAGAAAAGACTTTAGACAATTTCCAAAGTGAAATATACAAGTGACCAATGAACAAATGAAAAGCTGCTCAACATCATTCCTCATCAGGAAAATACAAATTAACACCACAATGCAATACCAGTCTGTGCTCTTTGGAGTAGGCTAGAATTAAAAAGCCTAATGCCACCAAATGTTGGCAAGGATATGGTGCAAGTAGAACTCCCATACACGGCTGGTGAGAGTGTAAAATGCTCCCTCCATTTTGGAAAATGATTTGTCAGTTTCTTAAAAAGGTAAATACACTTTCCCCTATGACCCAGCAATTCTACTGCTTGGTATTTATCCAAGAGAAAGGAACACCATATGTCTACAATAAATCTCGTACAAGCATTTTCATAGCAGCTTTATTCATAATAGCCTAAAACTGGAAACAACCCAAATGAACATACACACACAAACGGCTAAACAAACTGTGGTATTTTCATACAATGGAATACTCAGCAGTAAAAAAGAATGAACAGCTGATACGTACAACATACATGAATCTTAAAAACATTTTACTGAGCAAAACAAGCCAGACACAAAAGAGTACATACTATATGACTCTATGTGTGAGAATTCTTCCACACCAGATACGTGTGAGAATTTCTTCCTTCCAGATACTCTCATCAGCCCTGGACACCACCTGATAAAGCCATCAAGTCCAGCCCCTGCCTCCACACAGAACCCATGGACGTAAAAAACCCTGCATCTGGAGCCATTGGAAGAGTGATTTTTTTGGTCAAGTCTTGGAGAATCAATCCCCTGTTGGATCTAGCCTAAATCTCTCATGCTGTGTTTTAAACACAGGTGATCCTAGAGTTTCCACACTTCAGTGAAGAGTGGACAGAGAAGAGAGATTCACTCAACAAATGGGCAGAAAGACAAAGACAGAATCCACAACAGAGAAAAAAAGAAAATAAGGTACAGAAAGAGAAGTAGACAGGCTTTATGAGAGAAGCATCTGGTTACAGAGAAGTCAAGGTACAAATGATGCTCCCCTTCCCGCTGCACCATCTGACGTGAGGTGCAGGATCACATCATGGTTAAGATAGGGGTTCTAGAGCCAGCCTGCTAGGGTTCAAAGCCAGGTGCCCCCTCTTATTAACTCCATGACCTTACTCAACTTGCCCCAGGAAGACAATTTGAGGGAAGAGAGAAGCAGCACTGAAGACATTCTCTAAAGGCTGAAACCAAGGTCATAGGCTGGCCTTGTAATTAATGCCTAACTGTAACTGCATTCTGCGTAGCATTCCTTTCCAGGCACCTGCACCAGGGCACTTCACTACTGGATTCCCAGAGGGGTCTGGACCATGAAGCTCAAGCCCAGGCACTGCCCTGATGCCTCGGTACCAGACCCAGGTGCTGTGGAGTGGAGAGGCTGCCAGATAGAAGGAACCAACTCTCTCCCTACACAGGACCCAGCTATGTGGTGGCACTGGGTGACCCAGGCATCTGCAGTGGGGTAGGTTCCTGAGGACGGCTTCCTCTAGTTGCCTGCCTGAGGGTCACCTCACATTGAAGATGCCTACAATCCAGATCTCTAGGATGCAAAGGCCTCGAGAACTCTCACAGATGGGACGCTCAAGCCCAGAAAAGAGGAGCAACAGGCACAAGGTCACACAGCAGTCGAGTGTCTCAAGTCAGGATCAGAATCCTACCCCAGTGGACATGAGCACTCCAACTTGGGGAGTACCCTGGCCCCCGCCACGCTGCCCACCAGGCTGGAATTCCTAGGGTAGCTGCCTACATGGCCCTCCAGGCTCTGGACACCTCTTCCTCCTGACCCTAAAGTCCTCTACAGGAACCACCTGCCTGCCATTGCTGTCAGGCTCCAAGAGGGTCGTGGGCCTCCCCACACCATAGGCAAAGCATGCCCCCAGAGACCTTATGCAATTCCTCCTGTCTGTCTGGACCTAAGTCTTCCCATCCATACAATGAGGGAGTGGGATCCCGCAGCTCTGCTGACAGACCAAGCAGTGATGTCTCCAAATACGCTCCTAAACATCACCCTACTGCCCTGTGACTCTGGTTAAGTCTTATCCCTGTTAGAACTTTGGGTCCCATCTGTAGAAAGATCTGAGGGCCCTTCTAGTTCAAGCACTTGAGGATCTAAGGATGGAGTGCCCCTGTGACACCGAGAAGGAGAGGTAGAAGGTCAGCTGTAGATCCACAGGCATCCAGAACAGAAGACCAGGATGATTGCACTTCCCTGCCAGGGGAGGAGTAAGAAACTGTGGTCCAGACATAGGCTAGGACCTGTCCAAGACAACAGGTAAGGCTAGGACCCAGCTGGGACTTGTACCCCGGACTTCCAACTCCAGCTTAGTGCTCCTTCCCCCTCCTTACTCCTTCCACCAACAAGGGCAAATAGGGGCACTGTCTTCATCTTGTCCACATGCCCCTAGCTTAGGGGAGAGACGGGAGAGTGGAGGAGGGTGGCTGGTCCCTGCATTAGTTTGGACTCAAGCTGCATCACATGGCAGTGGCTTTAGAGGGTGGGGATTCAGGAATCACATGATTTGGAGAGGGAACAGGGCCACTGAGGGACTTGGACAAGTGATGCCTACTCTCCTAACCCAAAATCTACATGGGCCCAGGCCTCTTCATTCAAAGTCTCAATTCCACCAAGAGAGAACTGTGTCTCTCCTTTCTGGAACGGTTCTTCCAGATATTCTGGCTGGCTACTGCAGTAAGGTGGCCTCAGGTAAGGCCTAGAGACCTACAGACTGACCCAGAACCTAGTTCACCTTTGTTTTTACCACCCGCTGGCACAAAGCTCCAGGACCCTGGACTAACGCTGGTCCCTCTTTCCCAAAACCGCCCCCCCACCACCACTCCCCAACTGCAGCAGGTACTCACTGATGGGGGCGTGTAAGGCCACATGCTCCTGGTAGGGCGTGTAGTACTTATACTGCTTCCCGCAGAATTCACAGGTGTAATTGCCGGTTTCTGCCCAAGAAGGAAGAAGGTGTGGAAATGGGTATCCAGCCCCCACCCAGAAGCAGCATCTTTGCTCCCCTCTCCCAGTCCACTCCCTCCCCATTCTGGGACCACCAACTAGAATCAGAAGCTGTGACTCTGGAGTCAAAGCGTCTCGGTTCAAATCCTAGCTCAGCCATTTTGAGCTGTGCGACCTTGGGCAAGTCTCTTAACCGCCCTGTGCCTCAGTTTCCCTAACTGTAAAATGGGGAGAGTAACAGGACCCCCCTTCTAGGATTGCTGTGAGGATTAAATATATTTGTCAAGTGCTTGGAACAGTACCTGGCACACGCTGTTCGCGTTCCTCACTCCACCCCTGGCCCCGGTGCTCAGGAAATGTGTGCTGGCCTGAGATGATCCCCAATGCCAGCCTATCACCCCCTTTGCAAACCCTGCCCTCCGCAATGGCCAAACATGCGTCCCCCCTCATCTCCGAGACCTGCCCTGCCCACCCCCCACCCCAGCATAAAGGGTCACTTCTTCCTCTCAGGTCCCACCAGACTTTATCTTTACCTCTCTTTTGGCACTGCCTAACTTCTTTCTTCTTAAAAATTTCTGATGTAATATTGTTCACTGGGGGAAAATTATAAAATACTGATAAATACAAAAAATTCAAAAAAGTTAATCATCTGTAATCCCCAGACAAAGAGGAGCAGCTACCCTTGGGGTAGAGGGTACATCTTGCCATTTGCCCCAGTCCCCACCCACGCCCGTCTCATCTGGGGCCTGCTGCTCTTGGCCCCATCATCTGTGTGGCCCTGCGGGCCTTGAATTAGCCAGCCCTGATCTATATCCTCTTTGTAGGCTGGTGTACTCAGTCGACAGTATTTTGTGAACATATGGCCCAATCAATAAATATCGATCTCTACTGGCAGTTATTGGTGGCATGGTTCCCAATGGACTTTGGAATTTGCTGATCCAGTCCCTTATAACCAAGGGACATTTACATTGTTTCTAATTATTTTTCTTTTTATATATATATATATATTTTAAGAAAATGCTGTGATCCATATCCTTTTAGAAATCTTTGCACATTTGCTCCATCAGGAAACATTCCAGAACTGGGAAAGAGTATGCATTTTTAAGGCTTCTGATAGCCATATCATCAACTACCTTTAAAAAGGCTGGGCCAACTTTCATCCCAACAGAAGAGTGTCAAAACAGCTCCTTCTGCACACCATAGCCAGCATTAAGTATTATTGTTTTCTTAAACTGTGCCTATCTGATGGGGGGGTGGGGTGCTATACTACACTGCTGTTGTCATTTCCCATTTCTTTGATTTTTGGTGAAATTGAACATTTTTTCTATTTAACTGACGGTAGTTTTTCTTTTGTGACTTTCCTATGTTTTTTACAGCCAATGTTTCTATACGCAAATTTATCTTTTTAAAAATCTCTAAGACCTCTCTGTAGATTAAGGGTATCAACATTTTGTTATACATGTTACAAGTATTTTTTTTCTTAATTGGTTTCTTACTCCGTTTATGGGTCCCCCTACCTCCAATGTAGAAGTTTTAAAATTTTTGGTAGTTAAGTGATTTTGTAATAACCATGAACACTGGAGAAGATGTATTATTTGCTGTTTGCATGTTTTAGAGTTGTTGAATCAACTATATTATTTGGATCCTATATAGCTTTGTCTACTTGTTATGTCAAAGACTAAAGGTACACTGTAATAATCCTCCCATCATCACATGGTTCCCACTGGACCCATTGTACTTCTAAATGTATTTTTTATATTTAGATAATACAATGTTGTTTGATGCACACAGGTTCATGGGATCAAAGTCTTCATTGTGAACTATACCCATTATTAACATTAAATTATTCTCAAAAAGTGGTTCTCTAAAGTGTGGTCCCTGGACCAGCAGCATCAGCACTATCTGGGAGACTGTTAGAAACGCAAATTCTCGAGACTTACCTATGGAAACAGAAATGCTAGAGGTGGGGTCCAGCAACCTGTGCTGTAACAAGCCCTCCAAAAGACTGTGATGCACTGGAACACTTAAGAACCACTGCTTTAGCATTTAATTATACTGTTTTATCAGTCTGTCTAGCATTAACAGTGGAGCCCTGGTGGCACAGTGGATAAAAGCTCGGCTCCAGACTTAAAGTTGCTAACCAACTGTCGATGGCAGTTCAAATCCACCAGTGGTTCCTTGGAAACCCTATGGGGCAGTTCTACTTTGTCCTATAGGGTCGCTATGAGTTAGAATCGGCACCACAGCAACAAGTTTAGCATTAATATTATCAGTTTCTTGATAATTACTTTGTCTTTCAGACCCTGCTTTCTATTTGTTTGCATGTGTCTAAATATACTTCAGCAAACTTTCTTGTACTTTGATTTATTAAATAGGTATCGCGTTAAGTGCTGGCACAAAACAGTCATGGTCCCTGCTTTCACAGAGTTTACAGTCTGGAGGAGACAGAAAAATCAAACTATCACACGGATTTAAAACTACAATCATGATAACTGCTGTGAAGGAGACATACACAGTGCCATGATGACCTTAACAGAGAATTTAATCTAATTAAGGAAGTAGGAGTTTCCTGAGAAAGAGAAACTCAAGCTCAGAGTAAAAGATAAGGATTTAACTAGGTATGTCTCTAGTAAACCATTAATTATTGGAGTCTTTTATATTAACCTGAGAATCTTTGTCTTCTAAAAAAGGACATTATGCCACTTACTTTTATTGCTATAATTGATTTGGCTTTACTCTTTTACGTTTTTTTTTTTTTCATGCTCCATCCTTTTTGGTTGTCCCCTTATTTTTCGGTTGATAGATGAATTGATTTCTTTGCTTTACCATTATTCTCCAATATTACATTATTTTCCAATATTCTCCACTATTTTAGACAGTCTATAAGATACATTCCTCTAACTGGGACAGGCAAGAGAGAAACGATATTTTTAAGTTTATCTCTGTTGAGAACCCAGTTCTTCTCAAACTTTAGCTTGTATAAGAATCATCTAGATTGTTACAACACAGATTTCTGGGCCCCACTATAGAGATTCTAACTCCATAGGTCTGGAGTGGGGCCTAAGAATTTACATTTCTAACAAGCTTCCTGGAGATGCTGATGCTGGTCTGGGGGCCATACTATAAGTAGAACTGGTTTAACCTACTTTATCCCTCACTCATTCCTTCCTTCTTGTTTTTAAAAAAATTATTTTTAATTTTTTAGAATAACCTTTATCTTTTCATTCAATTTTATAATCAGATTTGCAACATTTTAATCTTACTTCCAATTTATCTGGTTTTAGCATTCACCGTAAGTTCTCTTATACCATGAATTCCACATAACAGAGCTTTAAATTTGCTTTCTCACTCAGTTCATTACAGTGTATCATTCAAATAATTTTTTTGAAGATGGATGAGTATATGGGAGAAGTAGAATGTTTTCGAGCCCCCACTTTTTTTCTTTAAACATAAATCATAGTTTATCTAGATAAAAATATTCTTAGATTACAACCTTTTTCCTTCAGAACATTCCACCATCTTCTGGCATTTAACATAGAAAAGTCTGAGGTCAGTTCACCTTGAATTCATTTGCAGGTAGCTTGGTTCTTATGCCTAGATGCCTGTACAGGGTTCCCCACCCCCAGGCCCCCTTATTTTTGTAGTTCAAAAGTACTAAGGTCTATCTAGGTATGAGTTTCTTTATATTAACTCTACCTGGCACATGATGGGCCCTTTAAATCTGCATATACAGGTTTTCCTTTAGCTGAGCAAAATTTTCCTCTACAATATCTTTGGAGCATTGCTTCTGTTCCACTGGTACTACAACACCAATTATTTGAGGCTGGTTTTCTGTCCTGCATATTTAATGTTATTTTTTCCTCTGAGTATCTAAATCTGTTTGTTTGTCTTCCACATCACTAACTCGATTTCTGAAGATTAATTCTGTTCTTTACTATCTATGATGTAGATCTTAGCTCTGTTCTTTTATTTTCAGCTTCCCTGCAATCCTTCCTCATCTCACCCCTCTCCATTTGCTTCTTCAGCTCACCCTGTTGCTTTTTCATTATACGACTTCAGGCTCCTTTCTCACAGAGGTCGTATTTTCTTATATTTGATTGAGGTTGTCAACTAAAATTTTCTTTTGGATTTTACAGTAAATCTTTTTCAAGAAGTATGCTCTTCCTGAGTTTTCTAAATTCTCTCTTGTTATGTAGAATTTTCCTAATTCTTTTCTAAATTTTTTCAAGTTACTCATGTTTATTCAGGCATGAAAAACAAGTCACCCATAAATGAATCCAAACTTGCTCTGTTTCAGTAAACATGAATGAACTGTCCTCAATCCTACCCTCTGCCCATTGTTATGGTAGTAGAATTCTCAGATCTGCAGCCAAAGAGCAGGCTGAAACCCACAACCCCTTAGTTCAACTCCCTCCTTCTAACAGGATCCCACCTAGGGAACCTCTGCCCTAACATGGCTCCTACTTCCTCCTACCCCAGTACCCAATTATTTAGTGTGCTCAGCTGATGCCAGGGTGGGGGGTGCGCCTCCCAGCATGTTTGCTGCCAGGGATTTTCCTTGTCCTCCGACCTAAACCAGTTGCCGTCAAGTTGACTCCAACTATGGCAACTCCATGTATGTCAGAATAGAACTGTGTTCCATAGGGTATTCAATGGCTGGTTTTTTGGAAGTAGACTGCCAGGGCTTTCTTTCAAGGCACCTCTGGGTGGACTTGAACCCTCTCCTGGCTCCTCCTTACCCTGTGACTATCCTAGATGTTTTCAGAGTTCTGTGGCATTGACCTGCTTACAGGCAGAGACAGAAGCCCAAGAAGTAGCACTCTTCTCTCACGAGGCAGCCCCTGAGTGCTAACAAGGAACAGCCTCATAGTTCTGGCAACCTCAGTTTCATAAAGTCAAGATGGAAGCATGTCAGAAACTGAACCCAGTCCAGTTTTGGCACTGCAATTCCATACTCCCTATAGTTTGTGGTAACTCCTGGGTTCTGGCATTAGTTGTCTGTCAGACTTCGAGATATACAGAGCAAGTTTCTTCTTGGTCAGCGTCTTCCTGGGTAATTAATGTTGCTGTGAGGTGCTGTCAAGTCGATTCTGACTCAGAGTGACCCCACTTGACAGAGTAGAACTGCCCGATAGAATTTTCTAGGATGTAATATTTACAGGAGCAGGATGCCAGGTTTCTTCTCCCACAGAGCCACTGGGTGGGTTTGAACCACCAACCTTTTGATTAGCAACCCAGAGTTTAACTGCTGTGCCACCAGGGCTCCTTGGGTAATTGAGAGGCACCACTATTCAATGCGCTCCATGTACATGTCAAGGACCATGCTAACGGCTACAAGTCTAATCTCATCTAACCCCCCACCAATCTTGAGAGGTGAGTCTTACTGTCATCATGTTGTCACTCCCATTTTAAAGCGGAGGAAATGACAGATTACAGAGGTTAGAAAACGTGCAGAACATCACACAGCTATTAAGTACAGAGCTGGGATGCATACCTGAGCTGGTCCTAAAGCTGTGGCTCTTGACTCTCTCTCAGTGACATCTCTCATGTATTACGTCCTGAGTAAGTCCTGTGCTAGATACTTTATTTGCATGCATCCTGTGTTTCTCTCTGTATTGTAACAGTCTGTCTTCCCTGCCATGTGAATTACTCAAGGGCAGGCCACGTGTGTCTTGTTCTGTACAAGTTTGCTGAACACCGGAAAGCCATGTGCTGGCTCCCACCCACAGGGGCTTATTGGGACAAGGACAGAGTATCTGCATGTGGCTCCTCTGGACGGCTTCCATCACTGATAAACCCCTTCAGATGACAATGACAAGAGTGATTTTCTGAGCACCTCCTATGTACCAGGCACTGCGCTAATAAATGATTTACATCCATGATCTCATTTAATCCCCCAACAAACCTGCAAGAAAATGTCCTCCTCACTCCACACGAGGAGCCTGAGGCTCAGAGCGGCTAACGGACAGCAATGGCACCAAGCAAGGAAGTAGTTGAGCCAGCGTGCAGCCCCAGGCCTGTATGCCCTCACTGCTCTGACTTTGATCCTGTGCTACACTGTACTAAAATCCTAAGACTGAAAGGTCCAATTGACAGGTGGGCAAAGTGAGGTATAAGGAGGCCAGCCACTCACTAACCTGTGCTATTGCTGCAGGATGAGCGATGCCTGCCCCTGCCGGTGGCAAGACTCAGCCCTGCTTCCCTCAGCCAGCCCCTCCCCGTGCCCCACCCCCGGCCCCAGAGAGAGGCCCGCATACTTGGCCCGATTTTCTGGAATGGTTCCGGGGGTTCCTCCTTCACCTCGTCAGTGGCCACAACACCTTGGTCGAAGGGGTCTGCGGGAGAACACATGGCCCTTAGCACCCTGGCAATGCAGGTCTCGGAAGCCCCGCTGGGGACAGGGGAAGTGGGTACCCACCAAGGACTTACCTGCCCGATTCTCGGGGGCCCCTTCCACACTAAACACTGCGCCCAGGCAGGAGGCAGCAGCCGCAGAAGGAAAGAAGCAAACAGGAGCCCTGTTAGTCCCTGCCCATAGCTGCCTCTGCCTGTGCTCCAATCCTCTGTCCTGATGAGCTTGCCTCTGGGGCCCAGGAGGGTGGCCCTGGCCAGCGTAGAAGCCCCAGAAAACCAGGGGCCACAGGAGGGCATGTCTCAACTAGGATGAAGCCTGTGCCTGAACCCTGCACCTCCTCATGGCCTCAGCCCGCCCCCCATCTCCTAGCCCTGTTTCTAGATGGCCAGCACCCACTCACAGAGGCCAGAACAGTAGAAAAGAGGAAGAGATTTGCAGGAGAGAGAGAGAGAGAGAGAGGGGGCGAGAGATGGGATGACCAGTGGCATAAGATGGTGGGGTGTGGTTGCCACAGCTTGGGAGGAGCTGGGGGTATGGGGTTAGAGAGGGAACCCCTAAGATCCCTCCCAAGTCCAAGGCCCTATTTCTAGGAATCTTAAGATTCTAAAAATGTATTCCCTAAATTTATTGCTATAATTTTTAACTCTAAAACCTAAGATTCTAAAATGCCATCATTCATTGTACAAAACTGGTTTAATTTCACCAGAGCACGTGAATACTCAACATGGAATTATTAAATGACTCAATATGGAATTGCTGATATCGACCAGTTCTGACCTACAAAAATGGCAATTTTACTTGGGTTAACCTAAACAGCAGCGTATACAGAGTACAATGGGAATGACCTCTCCCCCAGAACCTCACTCCACCCACCCAGAAGTGACCACCACCAACGGTGTTTTTCCAAGCCTTCATCTGCATTCTTAGAGTCTATGATCTGAGGTTCTAATTCTGAGATTTCAACATTCTACGATACCAAGACTAAACACCTACGTACTGCAGAGGCAATGCTTCTCTTAGGCCCAGGGGCTGGTCACTCCCTTTGTGGTTCTGGCTAGTGCCTGGCCTTTCTCTGGGCAGGAGGAGGGAGGAGAGGGCTGGGGCTGGGTGGGGCTGGTGAGCAGCCCTGGGAATGGGTGCCTCCTTGTGTGGCTGTACCCTGAAAAGTGAGGGGCCTGACTCACCATCCACTGCATGCAGGTCTCGGTGCTCTTGGAAACAGCTGTAGTATTTGTACTTCTTCCCACAGATGTCACACGTGTACCTGAAATTGTCTGTGAGGGATGGAAAGACACACAAGGTCACCAGGGCTTCAGTGGGCAGGGGTATTTTTTTGGCCAACTCATGTGCCTTGGGAACCAAAGACAGGACTAAGAATGGCCCCAGCTGGACAGCCTCATGGAGAACTGGTTCCCAAGCCAGTGTGCCCCTTGGCACTGCCCAACCCTCTTGGACCATGAGAGCTGTGGCACAGCTCACTCCCCTGCATGCCCGGTTCTTCTCCCCATGTGTGGTCAGGCCTGGGAGACGTGAAGGTCCGGCCTCAGTGCTGGTCCCAACCTCCTACTCCAGGCAGACCATGTATTGCTTTCTGTGTCCACAGGTTTAGGATGGGATGTAGGGAGATTCAGACCACACAAGGACACCAGGCAGCCTTGAAGTGACTCCCAAACCAACCCCCAAATCTGGCCTGCATGAGCCGAGTCCCTAAAGGCCTCATTCACAACTGGCCCATCCTCCCTTCACCAGAAGTTACATGAGAAGAAAATCCATCACGGCAGCTACCACTTCCTGGGTGCTTACCATGTGCGACGCACCAGGCACCTCCTGTACCTTCCTTGGTTAGTCCTTGCAACAGAAGGAGGAGTTAGCATCCCATTTTACACATGAGGAAACTGAGGATCAGAGGGCCCTACCCTGAGTCCCACAGCTAGTGAGGGCTGTGGAAGGCAGCTTCTGAGATGGCTCCAATGATCCTGGAGAGGTATGGCCTCCTGCAGTCTGGTTCCTAATGGAGATCTGCCCTCAAAATTCCTTTCCTACACTAGCCAGGCTGGCTGCCCTCTGCAGGTGCCCACCTTGTCTTTGCCCAGCATCTCCAGTCAGCCTGGCCTGCCACCTCCAAAAGACATGAAACCCCAGCTTTCTGCTACTGAGAACCACACACCACAACGTCTCCTCAACATGGATGGGGACCACACTCCCAGGCCCTCCTACAGAAAAGAGTCAATTTGTACAAGAGAATTAATCACAAAGAAGGAGGGCAAAATGATTTTTTGTCAGTGAAATCACGTTTTCAGAACCCCAAGAGCACTACATGTCTTAAGAAATGCCACTGGAGCTCAAATCCAACTCTACCACTTCCAAGTGTGACTAGCCTTCAACATGCTTCCTAGCCTCTGTGCCTTGCCTTTCTCATTTGTATAATGGGAATAATAATAGTATCTACATCTCCCAGAGCTGTTTTAAATAAAAGAGCACAAAAAGGACAAATAATATGATCTCACTTACACGAAATACTCAGAATAGGCAAATGCAGAGAGACAGAAGTTTATTAGTAGTTACCAGGGACTGACCAAAAAACCCCACTGCTGTCGAGTCAATTCTGACTCACAGCGACCCTGTGGGACAGAGTAGAACTGCCCCATAGGGTTTCCAAGGAGCACCTGGTGGATTCAAACTGCTGACCTTTCGGTTAGCAGCTGTAGTTCTTAAGCACCATGCCACCAAGGACTAAGGGAGGGAGAAATGGGGAGCTACTGCTGAAAGGCTACTGAGTTTCTGTTTGGGGTGATGAAAAATTTTTGGACACGGATAGTGCTGATGATAGCACAACATGGTGAATGAAATCTATGTCACAGAATTGTACCCTTACAAGTGGTTAAAATGGCAAACTTTTGTTATATATATTTTATCACATAAAAAAAAAAAAAAAAAAGGATTGTTGTTAGGTGCTGTTGGTTCTGTCCCATATTGACCCTATGTACAACAGAACGAAACACTGCCCGGTCCTGCTCCATCCTCACAATCATTGTTATGCTTCAGCCCATCGTTATAGTCACTGTGTCAATCCATCTCGTTGAGGGTCTTCTTCTCTTTCACTGATCTGCTACTTTACCAAGCATGATGTCCTTCTCCAGGGACTGGTCCCTCCTGATAACATGTCCAAGGTACGTAAGATGAAGTCTTGCCATCCTCGCTTCTATGAAGCATTCTGACTGTACTTCTTCCAAGACAGATTTGTTTGTTCTTTTGGCAGTCCATGGTATATTCAATATTCTTTGCCAACACCATAATTCAAAGGCATCAATTCTTCTTCGGTCTTCATTATTCATTGTCCAGCTTTTGCATACATATGAGGCAACTGAAAATACCATGGTTTGGGTCAGGCCCATCTTAGTCCTCAAAGTGACATCTTTGTTTTTCAACACTTTAAAGAGGTCTTTTGCAGCAGATTTATCCAATGCAATATGTTGTTTGATTTCTTGACTGCTGCTTCCATGGGCGTTGATTGTGGATCCAAGAATATGAAATTCTTTACAACTTCAATATATTCTTCATTTATCATGAAGTTGCTTATTGGTCCAGTCATGAGAATTTTTGTTTTCTTGATGTTAAGGTGTAATCCACACTGAAGGCTGTAGTCTTTAATCTTCATCAGTAAGTGCTTCAAGTCCTCTTCGCTTTCAGCAAACAAGATTGTATCAGCTGTATATTGCAGGCTGTTAATGTGTCTTCCTCTAATCCTGATGTCACGTTCTTCATATAGTCCAGCTTCTCAGATTATTTGCTCATCATATAGATCAAATAAGTATGGTGAAAAGATACAACCCTGACACACACCTTTCCTGATTTTCAACCACTGAGTACCCCTTTGTTCTGTTCAAACGACTGCCTCTTGGTCTAACATACAATACATGCTTGATAAATAGGACCTAATATTATTGTTTTACACAAAGCAATCAACATGAGAGTGGTAAGAGAACTGAACAAGATGTTAATATTTTATTTTCTCAGTTGAGAGATGGGTAAGTGGGTATATCTTTATGCCTCTAAGTACGACTGGACTATTTTCCTAACAAATAAATGAAAGAAACATCCCTGGACTAGAAGGCGCAAGATGTGGCTCCTAGGCCCACCTCCATTACTAACAAGCTGTATGATATCTTCTGTCTGGGACTCAGTGTCTTCATCTGCAAAATGGGTAGACTGGATGCAATATTCTTAGTTGGCCCCAAGGCCAGGCATCTGTAACGAGGCTGGTGGGTGAGGACAACAGTCGTTCAGAGCAGTGCAGGCCTGGGTCAGGGTTGGGGTGTGGGTGGGACTGATAATAAAGCACAATGACATGGGGGATAAAACGCCACAGGGAGGAAGGGAAAAGTGATGGGAAGACTAAAAATACCCCAGGCTACAGAGCCCTCACCCAGCACGCCTCCCGGACAACGGAAGCCAGGCGGAACACAAGAGATCATTGAGGGGCTGCCCGAGAGGCCAGGGACCCAGAATAGCCAAGAAAAGAAAGATAAATAGGGAAGGCCTTTAAATGTGTGCTGACCACAGGGCAGACCATGGGTGCCGAAAAAGAAGGGCGCTATTGAGCGAAAAAGGAGCCCAGGGCCAGGCCAGGATGGGTGGAGCTCCGGGGGAGAGGGAGGGACAGGTTTTTGCCTCCTACCAGCTGTGGGGGCTACAACCAGTGTCTAACCTCCCTGAGCCTCAGATTCTACTCCAGGATACGGAGCACTAATCTCAGATCTGCCTGCCTACTGCATGGTGTGAGAATCCGAACATGGAGTGGGTGGGAAGGAGCCTCAGAAAAAACGGTATCAGGACCCAGTCCAATTAAGACCCTTCTGCCATGGCTGCTAACCAAAACGTCAGGAGTTCGAACCCACCAGGTGCTCCTTGGAAATCCCACGGGGCAGTTCTACTCTGTCCTATAGGGTCGCTTTGAGTTGGAATCGACTCGACAGCAATCGGTTATGGGTAGCCCCGGGCACCACCCCAAACTGCTTTGTTTCGTTGTGTGTGTGCGTGTGTTTCTTTTCTCTTTGGTAACGTTATTTATTATTTTTTAAAGCATTTTATAGAGAAATAACAAATATGTAAGATAGAGGCAGGCAAACTACGGCCCGTGGGCCAAATCCTGCCTGCTGTTTGTTCGTTAATTAATCTGCTTATGTATTGTTTATGGGTGCATTTGTGCTACAACACAATGGCAGAGCTGAGCAGTTTTGACAGAGATGTCTGGTCCACAAAATCTACAATATTCACTATCTGGCCCTTCACAGAAGAAGTGTGCTGACCCCTGGCACAAAAAAGTATACAAACTGTCTAAGTATACAGCTCCTTCAACTTTCATAAACTGAACATACCAATGAAACTAGCATCCAGCTCAAGACACAGAATACAGCTCCCCTGGAGCCTCCCTCATGCCCCTTCCCAAGGGTAACCACTATCTGCTAACAGCGTCAATTAGCTTCGCCTGCTTTTGTACTTTAAAACCAAAACCAAACCAGTTGCTGTCAATTTTGACTCGTGGCAACCCCATGTGTGTTAGAACAGAATTGTGACCCATAGGGTTTTCTTTCTTAGTTTGTTGTTGCTGTTGAGAATATACACAACAAAACAAAACACTAATTCAACAGTTTCACGTACCATTTAGCGACATTAATTATTTTTTCCACAGGATTTTCAATGGCTAGTTTTTCGGAAGTAGATCATCAGGCCTTTCTTCCAAGGCACCTCTGAGTGGGCTCAAATCACCAACCTTAAGGTTAGCAGCCAAGTGCATTACCATCTGCACTACCCACAGACTCTGCTCCTGTACATTATATACATAGAATCTCAGAGGATGAACTCTTGTGTTTGGCTTATTTCACTCAACATTTTCATGGGAGTCATCCACGGTGCTGTGTGCAGCTATAAATCACTCATTCTCACTGCTGTGCCGTAGTCTGTGTGGATTTTCTATAATTTATTTATCCCGTGGTGGACATCTGGGTAGTCTTCGGTTTGGGGCTGTTAGGAATAGTCCTGCTATGAACATTCTAGTTCACGTCTTTCAGTGCACTTGTGCATACATCTCTTTTGGGTATGCACCCAGGAGTGGAATTCTGGGTTCTGAAGCTCAGTTTTGTTGGCTGAGGGGAGATTCCACTGGCACCAAAGCCTGGAGCACAGCAGTGTGTCTCCTTGAGGCGACCCTGGGCAGTCCCGGGGGAGGGAATGACAGTGTCTCTCCCTGCCACCCCCCATCAGCCCACAAGGAGGGGAAATACTCACTGCCTTGGGAGGCTCCCTCCCCTGAGGTGGCTTCAGTGTCTGTAAGAGAGAGAGGAAGGGGTAAGGAGGACGGACCAACACAGGGCCTATGCCGAGGGAAAGAGGGACAGCTAGGGCAGGCAGTATCATGGAGAGCCATTAAAGCACCAGTGCTCCCTCCCCATGGTTCTGTAGGAGGTCCAGGGGAACAAAGCCTCAGACAACTGCCTTGTGCCCCTCGGTGTCAGCTGCGCCCTGAGCTAGCACCTCTCCTCCCTGCCTGCCAGGGTCGGGGACACCACCCCTCCTGTCCCTCACTCTCAGTTTCTCCACCTTCAGAACAGGAGACCGCAGCCCCGACCCTACTCCCAGGGGTTACAAGGAGGACACAGATGACTGACTCAGTGCTTCTCTGTAGGGCTGCTGATGCCAAGAGGCACTGAGCACCCCGGGAGGACTGGGAACCACGTGACTTTCCCCAGGCACACAGAAAGCACTCCCGAGCACGGCCTGGCAGCTCGTCCTGTGGCTGGCGGGCACTTTCCACCCTTGTGTGCTCCCTCAAGCTGAAGGAAGGCTCTACTCTTCCCTGCACGTTCCCCCTACCGCAGGAAGAGGGAGGAGATGCGAGAAGACTGGTGCTTTGTGGACGCCTGGGTTCACCCATGCTGGGCCCAGGTGGAAAAATGGGCAGAGACTGGGGAGGTGCAAGCCCCTTGGCTCTGCCCCAGGGGTGTCCCTCTCACCTCGGTGTGCCCGTACATGGGTCTGGAAGCAGTTGTAGTACTTGTACTTCTTGCCACAGATTCCACACTCATAGGACCCTGGAAAACAGGAAAGGGAAGGACTGGTCAGCCAGCACCCAATGTCTGTAGCCAGAAGGGCCCGGGACCCGCAGGTGATGGCTCCGTGCACCACTAACTCCACACCCCAGGGCGGGGACTGTCCCATGAAGTGCCTTGTCCCTGGCACCAAGGAGGCAGCATGCAGGAGCAAAGACACAACACTGAGCTGCAAGTGAGGAGGCCTGGGTTCAACTTCCAGGTTTGCTTCCAACTCTGCAAGTGACCTTGGGCAAGTCACCATGCTCCCGATGCCCTCCAGCCTCAGCTTCCAAGACAGACAGTAGCTTCTTCATGAGAGGAGAAAGGAGATGAAAATAAAAGTACCCCTCTGAAAGGAATACACTGCATCCACATAACCAAAATACCAAACCCCATTGCCGTCGAGTCGATTCCGACTCATAGCGACCATACAGGACAGAGAACAACTGCCCCACAGGGTTTCCAAGGAGCAGGTGATGGATTTGAACTGCCGACCTTTTGGTTAGCAGCCAAAACGCTTAACCACTGCGCCCTAGGGCTCTGTATCCACCGAAGGAGATCATTATCTAAATACATGAGGTTCACTTCCAGCTCTCTCTTTTCCTTGTCAGGATGGGATAGAGGTTAAGAGAACAGGCTTCGAGTCTGATGCACTTGGCTCCCCTCCCCTTCCTGCAACTTACCAGCAGAATGACCTTGGTAATTTCCTTAGGCACACTAAGCCTCAGTCTGCTCATCAGTAAAATGGGGCTAAATAAAAGTACCTACCTCACAGGGGAGACCTTTGACATGGGGCAGGTATTCCCTACACTCCCCCTAGGAAGTGTCCAGCACTACTACAGATACACCTGACTGGGAGAGAACCCTCCGCCCCCTCACCCCACCCAATCAACAACAATGTCTGCAGAGGAGCTGTCTTGTTCACTCAGACACACAGAGATCAGCGCTGTGAAGACGCCTGGCTCCAGGCCTCTGCTGCGCCCTCTCCCGGGAGCAGGCAGACTGAAAGGATTGAGTTCTCTTTCCCAGTGGGCATTTCAGATGGGTTAGAGGAGAGCCCACCACACAGAGGAGAAGGCACATGGCAGGCAGCCAAGCAGAGCCCACCACAGTTAACCCAGCAGGAGCCCGGGAGCAGAGGCCCTGCTCACCCCCACCTACCAGGGAGGCTTCACACAGGCCTGAGGACACCTGGACCCAGACCCCACCCTACTGTGCAGGGCAGTGCCTTCCTGACAGAAGGGCCAGGGAGCTTGTACCAGTACAGAGGCCCTGGCCCCACCCGAGGTCTCGTGGGCTAGGATGGATGGAAGTGGTGGGCTGGGAACTGCCATTTCCAAAGGTCCCTCAGAGGATCCCACTGCACAGCAGCCAGGTATGGAAACCACAGGTTTAGAGCAAGACAAACCAGAGGGAGGGAGACTCAGCTCATTCCCTAATCTCACCAGGCCTTATCTCATGGAGCCTTAGTTTCTGCATTAGAAAAACGGCAGATAACACAGGCGAATTAACATGAAAACTGAATTCAAAATAGTGTTCCCAGCACAATACCAGGCTCTCAGTGAGTGCTAGTAATCATTAACTCCTGTCTTGCCTGGAGGCTGAGCCTGTTTACTGGCTGTGTGCTGAGAGTGTCAAATTCAGCCAGAAGAGCAATGGACTTGGAGTCTGAAATACTAGCTCATCTCTGCCACCCGCTAGCTGTCTGATTTCAGTCACATCCCTCTACTTGTCTGAGCCTCAGTTTCCTCACCTGTAAAACAGGAATACGATTCCTACATCTCATGACTGAGGTCAGGATTAATGAGATAAAGCATGTGACTCAGCGCACCCAGGAGGTGCTGGACAAACAGCCAGAGGTCCTGTTCCTCCTGTGGATCACTCCAGGGAACGCTGACAATCATGGAATTTAGTAGTTTGTCATTCGGTGGTTTGTACATGTGTTACCCTTGTTACCCAGGGAAAAATATAAACACATGGCGGGCAAAGAGCAGGCAGTATATTTCTCTGGGTTTAGCTCCATGATTGGCACACAGTGGGGACCCCATAAATTCACAGGGCCTTGCTGTTGTACTCATCTGTCACCGCGTAATAATGACCCGACTCCCTTCCTGCTACCTCCACCCACTCCGCAACAGTTCCTGCCAATTCCCCTTCAACCAGCCAATAATTTATTGCGCATCTTCAATGTGCCAGGCAGTGGAGCTCAACAACGTGAAAGAAGTGTTTGCTGTCTCCATTTAACAGGAAGCCAATGCGCCACAAAGCCAGGACACGACTCGGTGAAGGTGCTATGACAGGGGAGGCACAGAGGCAGGACCCTGACATGGCCACAGCCAGGAGCCAGTGTCGGGGAGAGAGTAGGCAGGAGAAGGGACGGGCAAAGGCTTTCCCTGCAGAGGGAGCAAAGTCCCAGAGGTGACAGGAGCTGTAGGGGCAGATACAGTCAGAGTCTGCAGAAGGTTGGGGCCCTTTTCCAGAGAGGACAGAGGCCAGTGAGGAGCAAAGACCTGTCCTCACTGGGCCCACTTCAAGATGAGGTCCTCATGGCTTCAGCTCTGTCTCTCTGCCGTGAGACCTGGGCCTCGGTTTCTCCAGTTGGACTCAATGGACTCAAATGGGACACTAACTGCTGCTGATGGACAGTGCCTGCAGCTATAATGCTCCCCCCTCAAACTCACCCACCCAGTCGATAACTGATTAAAAACCAAGCTGTGTTCCCCTACTGGCTTTATGAGATCCTCCCCAAGCCATGTTGAGATCTGAGGGCAGGGACAGCCTCGCTCACAGTCCTTCCCCCGTATGGTAGCATCATGGGGAGGGCTATGGCCCCCGATCCCTGTAGCAGGGAAAAGAATGCAGAATGGGGCACCTTGCCTGGCATGCCGAGTCTGGGGACCAAGCACTGCGTGCTGACAGAATGGACACCTGAGTTCAAGGTCCTCCTTGTCCCTCACTCACCCTAAGACCTTGAGCTCAGGCTCCCTATTTGTGGGAGGGGCCAGATGGGCAGAGGTGGAACGCAGGGCATGGGGAGATGATACCAGGTGTCAGCCAGGCTGGACGGCCCCAGAGTGCAGCAGCGTGAGCAAACCAGGGTTCAAATCCCAGCTCACCACATACCAGCTGGAGGACCCTAGACAAGTCATGGAACCACTGGCACCTCGGGTCTCTTCTCTGCAAAACAGAGATAGCAACAGTGCCCTCCTCAGGGTGGTGGTAAGGATGAAGAGAGATAATACTGTGGGTCTGGTACACAGCAGTCACTCAATAAATGACAACTGCTGTTACTATCAGTATTTTCCAAAGTTTGTTCTTTGGAACCCAACTTCCTGAGTGCATCCTGGGAAAAACAGGCCCATAGTCAAGCAAGTGTGAGGACACCTCATGACATGGCCCCATCACAGGGAGGCACAACGAATGTGAGCTCCAAAGGCTCTGACAAGTCCTACAGAGAAGCTTGCTGTTTAATCCAAGGTCTCCCAAACATACTTAGCCATGGAATCTGTTGTCCTCTTGGATTGTTTCAGAGCTGTAGCCCACAGGAAGTACTGCCAAAATGGTCCATACATTCTAGACTGCTAGACTTGCAAATATCCTACCACACCTCCCGCAGCCAGGGTCCTGGGGCAGGTTCAGATCCCCGGACACACGGCAGTTAAGGGGTGTTGGGGAGGGTAGTCCCTCACACTGGCCCTGTGGGTACTGGCAGGCCTGCTTCCTGGGGATCAGCAGCCAATGGCTCAGTCCAGCCACGCTCCCACCCTCAGGCTGGCACCCTGCAGTCATCATGTACCAGATGCATATCTCAATGCTTGGTCAAAAATCCAGGTCCCCTAGATCTACCCTGGGGGCTGCATTCCAGCACTTTTCCATCAGAATTATGTAGGAAATCAGGAAGAGCCCTTAAAGTTGAGAACTGTCTGGGAAGTTGGGGAAGGAGCAAAGGCAGCCAGAAGAAGGGCTCAGAGCGCTGGACTCAGGGGCAAGGGACCTGGAGTCTCGTCCTGGCCAGTCACCTGGCTTTCAAGGCCCTTGATCTGCTCCCTGTGCACGTTGAACAGGGAGGACACGATCACCTTATCTACCTAAGTTCACGAACAAACTTCTGTTGCCCAAAGGACATCCACACGTTCCCCAGGGAGGATGGGACATGGCATAACATGGCTGCTACAGCCGAAATTCCTCTCAAGTTTTGTGTTTTCTCTTTAAAATCCCATTTGTGTATTGATTCACAGTATGAAAATTTCTCCTGAAAAACCTTCCAACAAAATGGCCCTCGAGGGAGATGTGCCTGGGTAGGCTGTGGCCTTGTGGCCTCTTGACCCTCGGCCACGTGCCCCAATGGGGCACTGCCAAACTTTTGGGGACTCTCTCAGCTCAGACGGTCCCTGTCCCGGACACCTGACCCCCTGCTCGGCTTCCTCACTCTTGCTAGGTTCTCCAGCCACTCTTCCCTTTGTGAATCATGGCAGTTACTATCTCTAGACTCAACTAAGTGTCACGTGCTGTATCTCCTCTTGTTTACACCTCTACAACATCTCTGTGTGATGATGACCTCTGCATCCTGCCCCCTGCACAGGTGAGGAAGCAGAGGCTGGGGGCAGGTGTGTGCAGCAACTTGCCCCATTTCACAGTCAGCTTACTGGGGAGCATCTCACACATCAGCTCATTAATCCTCACAACTCCAGACGATAAAGGTTATTATTATCCCCATTTTTCAGATGAACGACGTGAGGATTGGAGGGATGACAGACCATGCCAGAGACTGCTCAGATCTCTCGTTCCAGAGCCCATGCACTTAACCGCCATACAACCAGCCTCTCAGAAAGCACCCGGAATCTTGACATTTAGCAAGTACACCCACGTCTCGTTTTTGTCCTCCATCTTCCCAGACGTCTCAGTGAGGTTGGAGCAACTCAACCCATTTCAACAACAAGTTTATAAGCTCTAGAAGCCAAGTCATCCAGGCCTGGGGTTACTCAGAGGCTGGCGAGGAA